GCTGCCAAGGGCTGGTCGCGCGCCCCCCATGAGCCTAGTCCGAATTGGACTAGGGGGAGGGGCGGCGCCCCCTTCTTCCTTCTCTTTCCCCCTCCTTCCTTCTTCTCCTAGTAGGACTAGGAAAGGGGGGGTCCTACTCCTACTAGGAGGAGGATTCCTCCCCCTTGGTGCACCTATAAGGGCCAGCCGGCCTCCCCTCTCCTCCTTTATATACAGGGGAGGGGGCACCCCTAGGACACACAAGTTGACAATTGTTTTAGCTGTGTGCGGTGCCCCCCTCCACAGTTACACACCTCGGTCATATCATCGTAGTGCTTAGGCGAAGCCCCGCGCCGGTAACTTCATCATCACCGTCACCAGCTGTCGTGCTGACGAAACTCTCCCTCGACCTCAGCTGGATCTAGAGTTCGTGGGACGTCACCGAGCTGAACGTGTGCAAATCGCGGAGGTGTCGTACCTTCGGTGCTAGGATCGGTCGGATCGTGAAGACGTACGACTACATCAACCGCATTGTCATAACACTTCCGCTTTCGGTCTGCGAGGGTACGTGGACAACACTCTCCCCTCTCGTTGTTATGCATCTCCTAGATAGATCTTGCATGATCGTAGTTTTTTTTAAATTACCGCGTTCCTCGACATCTGGAACCGGGACAAATGGGTCGTTTTCTACTAGTGATCATCCATATTCGTCAAACATGCCATTGGTGTCTTTGCCATGGAATTCATCCCCAGGTACAATCAGTCACCCTCCATGGTCTTATTTAGATCCATGGATGCAATATAATTTCTTATATCATGAAAGGGTATTACCAAATCACTATATATTTAATTAGCTACAAGTTTATTTCTGATCCAAAGGGCCGAAATATTTGATTTGTCATTTCATTTGTTTATTTCGGCTATACTTGCTTTGGTTGATGAAGTTTACATGGACCTTATGTTAATGGCCGATATTTATCTATCGTCCTAAAAATATGCCAAATCATGGCCGGTGTAGTTTGATTGGAAAGTGAGACAAGCCTTTGGTTGCCATAGGTGTGACACATATTGAGGCGTTCGCTGATTCATTATGAGAAGTCCAAAAAATATCCAGGGGTTATCAATGTTTTGACGAATCACTTATAATTTATCTTGAGGTATATCTAGATATAAATTTTACCTTGGGTTGTTTTAATACCGCTCATGTATCTAGACATGACAATTAAAGAGCAAATGAGTTTACACAGTAAGCATCCGGCTACTATGTTGATCATGTTGTATTGCATATTACTAAACAGTATAACGGGGCTAGTTAGGAGCCTCCACAGCGATTTGAGATCCTAAACCGCCCGATTCAGCGTATAAACGAATCAGATCATTCCAACCTCATGCAGTTTTCCTTTGCGCCTCGTTCACTCGCTAAAACCGACCGAAGTCGAACCAACATCAAAAGGGCCGCTGCTTCGCAGACTTATTTTGGTGCCTTCTGGTGCTCCGGGCTGCAGTGGTCCGTTAGGCCATGTGGTAACTTTTTTTCTTTTCCTGAGACCGACCGCACTTTTGATCCGTGGCGCTACAGCCGTATTTTGTGATCAAAAGTAGCGCTGCTGCTGCGCCTACCTTTGTCTAAAAAAATTGGCTATCTATGGCTTGACTGCATCATTCTTTGTTACTTTTATTCCTCTAGTACGCAGCCCCTCTCAGAAAAGAAGCCTCTACTACACAACATCTGCCATTGCAAGGCTACAACGAACAATGACACATACGAGATACCACACACATACGATCGACCACATATTCAAATGCCTTAGCAAATGGTATGCATAGACAAAACAAATGCACAATGACATTCTAGTGTTCGACTTAGATGGCATTATCACCCGTCTCAGTTTTGCAATTTATACCTAAGTTTCAATATTGCCCAACTATTTATAGAAGTAGGTTTTTTCTCTTTTCTGTGATGTCCACATTATCTCATACATTTATATTGTCCTTCCAATAAAATGTGTGGGTGCAACAACGCGCGCCTTTACGTTTTAGTATCTATCAATAGCCGATGCTTATTCTCGCCAACGTAGGTAAGGCCGAATTGGAGCTCATCGCTTCGGCCACTAATGAAACTGAAGAAGTTCATTCGTGATTATCTGCAAAATTCTAGCAAAAGAGTGAACAATATGGTTCGGAAGATGGCATTCAGATATATATCTATGAAACTTTATCATCGGATTGTTATAAAAGTTGAGAAGTTTTCACCCAAGTTTGCATCAAGGATTCAAACAAGTAATAGTTGATATATACTTATCACCCTAAGCACATGCAAAATGGCCGATGGAGTGTTGACGTCATCCATAGAACAAACTTTGTATAAGTTATTATTCGGCACGCTAGCAATGCCCAAAAAACAGGGGGCATGTGTTGACGCTCAAAAGTGGTACAGTCATAAAACTAGCTTATGCCATATCAAGACTAATTCAAATTTATGATTGGAGGTCACCTCCGGATGGCTCTCTTTAAGAAGATCAAGATGGATATGAACATGGTCTAAAACAGAGCTCTTATGCAATGGTTATGACAAGTTCAGAGATGCTCATGTTGCACCAGATTAAAGAATGGCATAAAACTCAATTGATATGGCCTCTAATGGAAAACGTTTCAACATGAAAGTTGTGTGTCTCGTCGAACGATCGATTTTAATATAAAAATCATCTCAATCCAAATTCGTATGCAAAAGTTAGAGCCATCAGAATGTAACCCTGCCAGGAGGCTAAATATGGCGCCCTACCAGACACGTGTCTGGTGGGTAGCACCACCAATCGGCTGTTTTGTGTGAGAGATTCGGTCCTCAAAATGGCTTCGAATCGAAAAATGTTCAACATGAAAGTTGTTTGTCTCGCCGAATCGGCTAAATTTGCTTTTGGGCGTATCTTCATCCGAGGTCATTTGTGGCCTGTGAGTCATTTGTGACCATATGATACATGATTTTGGTTTGTTTGATTTCTTTGCTGGAAAAACAAAGGATTATTTTCAAGATGTTGAGTGTATATACTAAAATTTATAGGCCAGCACTCTGCGCCGGTGCGTCGGCCGAAACTTTCGGCCGGTCAGCTGGCGGCCGTTCGATCTGAGCGAGGTGGACCACATGATCTGTTCCTCCTCCTTTC